GGCTGCCACCCGCACGACCAACCAGGGCCGGCGACAAACTGCAACCGAGGTACGTGCCCTTAGCGGGAACCGAACCTGGGTCTCTCTGTACCGCAGGCCGACACTCCAACTGCTGAGCCAAACCGGCCAGGGCAGTCTACTAGATTTTTATGAAATAGTTTTCTAATTCCTTCCTCATTGGTTTCTGTGTTTTTAAATTTCACTGGGGTAATATAGTTTACTTGGTGAAAGAACAGATCTAAAACAAGACCTGCTAAATCCAATCCCAGCTCTGCTATTCCTTGCTTGTGACCTTGAGCCCCTTAATTTCTTTGTGCCTCAGATTCATCACGTGTAAACTGGCAATGTTAATAACATACTTCTTGGGGTTGTTTTTGTTTTGAGAATTAAGTGTGACAAAATAAAGCTTGCCTCTCCTGAGCATCTCCAAGCACAACACAAATGTATAGGAGAGGGCCTGGCCTATAATTGTTGTTATGCATAAATCTTTATGTCTTCTGTTAAATTAATCTCTTTTATTTTTGCCTAAGAACTATATCATATTATTGTAGTTTTGTAATAAACTTTATTGTCTGCTAGAGCAAGATGTTGCTTTTCACTTCTTGCTAGATTGTCAAGAGTATCCCACCAAAAAACCCTAGAGGGCTTCTGGCTAAGATGGTGGTGTAGGTAAACGTGGTACTCCTCTTCTCCCACAACCACATCAAAGATACAAGTAATCTTCAGAACAACCATCATTCAGAACCACCTAAAATCTAGCTAAATGGAAGTGCTACAACTAGGGAATTAAAAAAGCCACATCAAGACTGGTCGGAGGGGTGAAGGCACAGAATGGACTAGTCCCACACCCTTGCGTGGCAGTTTTTAATCAGGAAGGATACCTTGACTCTGAGGAGCAAAGGGTGCGAGTCCAACACCAGGCCTGTCAGCCCAGGGTTCCAATGCCAGAAAGACAAATCCCCATAACTTCTGGCTGTAGACACCAGTGGGGATAGTGGCTCAGGGAGACAGAGGCCTCTGGAATCCCAGACAGTTCCTCTTAAAGAGCTGACACAGCCCTGGCCAGTTTGGCTCAGAGGCTGGAGCATTGGCCTGTGGACCAGAGAGTCCCAGGTTCGATTCCCACTAGGGGCACGTACCAAAAACAAAAACAAATACAAAAAAAAGAGCTGACACATACTTACTTAGACTTATTCCCTCTTGACTCCAGTATTGGGACAGCAGCTTGAAAGGAACCAGGGACATTCAGGGAGGAACTAAATTATCTAGCATCAGGGCAAGAGCTGGGGGAGAGCAGTTTTCTCACAGACAAAAGTGATGGCAGAGGCCATTATTCCTTTGGTGAGACTGACCCCCTACCACCCTTGTTTTACACCCCCCCCCCCCCACACACACACAACTGACAGGTTGGCATATTTGAGTCTCCATCAACCTGGCCCACACTGTTTAACTCATCCATGTGATTCCCTAAGACCTCACCCCACCTAACTTATAGGTTTACCCAAACTATTTCCAGGTTCTTTCCCATATAGTTGTCCTCTCTTGACTCATGCTTCAGACTTTCCTAAGATCTCTCAAGTAGTTGGTCTCAGCATGCCCTGTACCTCTTGCAAGTGGCCTAGGCCTGGCACTAGTGGCAGCCCACCTTGGTTCACAGCTTGGTCTCTCCTGGGCACCTCCAAGCACAACACAAGTAGCAGCCATCTGCAGATCTTTCTGTAGCTTGTACTAGGTGGCCCCAGCCAGGGCACAGGCAGTGGTTGACTTTGCACCTCCCAGGAGGCCCCAGAGCCCATGCATCCAGTGGAGAGCTTCATACCACACTGAATTAACAACCCTACCACCTCCATGAGTGACACACTCAAGGAGCAGACTCAACGAGCACCAATGCCCCACTGAAGCAAGTCCTGCTCCACCCGTAGGGTCAGCTCCTACACAGCAGCTCTTCCACTGCAGTCACAACTGGTCCTCACAGCCAAATGGCCTGGTGTTACTCCCTCTTAGTGATGCCAACGGCAGTCAAGGCTCAACTACAAAAGGACAGTGTACACTCTCCACATGGGCAACACACCTGGAACACCCAGCTCAGGTGACTGGGCAGGCTGCACCATGGGGTCTACAGGACACCTGCTACACAGGCCATTCCACCAAGTCCAGGAGACACAGCAGCTCTATCAGAAACAGATCTAGGAAGCAGCCAAAATGAAACAGGTCCCAAATGAAAGAACAAGAGAAATCTCCAGAAAAAAACTAAATGAAACGAAGGCAAGCAAACTACCAGATACAGAGTTCAAACAATGGTTATAAGGATGCTCAAGGAATTTAGTGAAAACTTCAACGGCATAAGCCCTGGCTGGTTTTGCTCAGTGGTTAGAGTGTCAGCCTGCGGTCCGGAGAGACCTGGGTTCGGTTCCTGCTTAGGGCACGTACCTTCGTTGCAGTTTGTCCCTGGCCCTAGTTGGGTCGTGTGGGTGGCAGCCACTCGATGTGTCCCTTTCCCGTCAATGTTTCTCTCCCTTTCTCTCCCTCCCACTCTATCTGAAGAAAACATCGAAAAATGTCCTCAGGTGAGGATAAAAAATAAACACAAGAAAACTTCAACAGCATGAAAAAGAACTTAGGGAACATAAAAAAAGGACCAGTCAAAATGAAGAATATATTAACTGAAATGAAGAATACTTTATAGGGAATCAACATTAGAGAACACCAGGTATCAAATCAGCAATTGGGAATATGAGGAAGCAAAAAACACCCAGTCAGAACAGTAAAAAAGAAAAAAGAATCTAAAATTTGAACATAGTGTAAGGAGTTTCTGGGACAACTTCAAGTGTACCAACATTCACATCATGAGGTGCCGAAAGGAGGTGAAAAGGAACAAGAAATTAAAAACCTGCCCTGACCAGTTTGGCTCAGCGGTTAGAGCGTTGGCCTGCGGTCCGGAGATACCTGGGTTCAGTCCCTACTAAAGGCAGGTATCTTGGTTGCAGTTTGTCCCCCGTCTGGTTAGGTCGTGTGGGTGGCAGCCACTCGATGTGTCCCTTTCACGTTGATGTTTCTCTCTCTCTCTCTCTCCCCCACTCTATCTGAACAAACAATGAATAAATGTCCTTGGATGAGGATTAAAAAAAAAAAAGAAATTAAAAAGCTATTTGAAAAAGTACTGACAGAAAACTTACCTTACCTGGTGAAAGAAATAGACATACAAGTCCAGGAAGCACAGAGAGTCCCAAACAAGATGATCCCAAACAGGCCCACACCAAGACACATCATAATTGAAAACAAAGAGAGAATCTTAAAGCAGCAAGAGAAAAGCAGTTAGTTACTTACAAGGGAGCTCCCATAAGACTGTCAGCTAATTTCTCAACAAAAACTCTGCAGGCCAGAAGGGAGTGGCAAGAGATAATCAAAGTGATGAAAAGCTAGGACCTACAACGAAGATTACTCTACCCAGCAAAGCTAGCATTTAGAATTGAAAGTCAGATAAAGAGCTTCCCAGACAAGAAACAGGAGTTCAGCACCAAACCAGTATTACATGAACTGTTAAAGGATTTTCTTTAAGAAAAAGGAAAAAAAAAAAAAAAAAAGATGAAAGATCTGAACAGTAAAATGACAATAAATACATAGCTATCAAAAACTGAATCTAAAAATCAAAATAAACAAGCAGGACAGAAACAGACTCAGATACAGAGGACATTTTGACAGTTGCCAGATGAGAGGAATTTGGATTAAGAAGTACAAATTGGTTGTTACAGAATAGTCATGAGAATGTAAAGTACAGCACAGGAAAATAGTCAATGATATTCTAATAGCTATGTATGGTGTCAGATAGATGTAAGTTTTTTTGGGATGATCACTTAGTAAATTGCAATAATGTCTAATCATTGGGGTGCACACCTGAAATGAATATAATATTGTATGTCAACTGTAATTGAAAAATAAAAACTGATTTCAAAGCCAACCTAGAATTTTTAATGAAATTGTTTTAGAACATGTAAACAACATTTGAGAACCGATATTTCAAATAATAGTCAGTCAACCCATATATGCTTTGCAGTTTTCTTTATTAAATGCCAAATTTTCTCATTCAAGTTCTTCACAAAATTTTATTTTAGGTTACTATGGAGTTTTCTTTTAATCAAATCCCACTTTACTGTGGCTCGCTCTCTTCTCCTTCCTAAATTTACTTTTCTGTACAGTATGGATCTTGATTTTTGTCTGCTTGTCTACTATTGCCCCTGGAATACAAGTCCTAATAGGGCAGTAACTTAGTGTATTTGGTTTACCACAATCTCCCCCGTACACAAATATAAAAATATTTGCTGAATGAATACATAGAGAAATATAATGGTATTTATCTTGCATTAAGTAATTTTGTTGTACCCTCCTTTTTATTTTCTATATTTTTTAATAAGATTCTCATGTTATTTAGGTAGAGAAGCATATTATCTTCAAATAACAATGCATTATTTTTCTGTCAGACTTATTAAGCTTCATGTTTATTCATGTGGCCAGAACAATCAATATTAAATAATAATAGCCATCTTTTTTTTTGTTACTAATTTTACTATAAAATCCCAAAACAGAATTTTAATTAAAAAAAAAAACATAAGGCACTATTTAAAGCTTAGCCATTTAAACCTTGACCCTAGGATGATACCACCTCACACACACAGTTAAAGTGACTTACTAGAAACTCTTAACTCAGAGGTTACAAATACAACTTGTTATTAAAATCACTTCTTACTGCCCTGGCCAGTTTGGCTCAGTGGTAGAGCATCCACTCACAGACCAATGAGTCTCGGGTTCAATTCCGGTCAAGAGTACATACCTCAGTTGCGGTTCATCCCCAGCGCTGGTTGGGATCGTGTGGGAAGCAACTAGTCAATGTATCCTTCTCATGTTGATGTTTCTCTTCCTCTCCCTCCCTACACTTTATCTGAAGATGAAATAGAAAAATATCCTTGGGTGAGGATTATAGAAAAAAAAAAATCACTTCTTACCTTATAGCTTTCTGCTCCTTGAATGAGATCTCTCATGGAAGTAGACAACTGATCCTTTTCTGATTGAACAGATTTGAGTTCTTCCCTTAGAGTCTGGACCTATTTTAAATATAAAACAGAGAGTTTTTTATGGACAGAAAAACTTGATTTTCTAAAATATAAGGTTCTTGGATCTTGCATTTTTAAGTCACCTTACCTCTCTTCTGCTAGAATCTAGTTCTTTCTTTGCCTTCACAGCAACTAGTTTTATCTTATTTATTTTCTCCTCTTTCTCTTTAGATTCTTTTTTCAGATATTCTAAAAATATAAAATGGATTATATATGAACTCAAATGGAAAAAACTTAAAATTACTTGTTTAAGCCCTAGAAATTGATCTTTAATCTGGAACACAAAATCTGCAATTTGAAATTTAAAATGATAAAATAAGTACCAAGAATATTAATACTAATTTTTCAAAAAATATGTTTTTATTGATTTTAGAGAGGAAGGGGCAAGAGAGAGAAGCTTCGATCAGCTGCCTCCTGCATGCCCCTTACTGGGGATCAAGCCCGAAAACCTGGCATGTGCCCTGACTAGGAATCGAACCAGGGCTCAACCAATGGAGCCACACCAGCCAGGGCAATACCTATTTTAAAATTTTTATTTTAATTAATTAAATCCTCACCTGAGGAAATTTTTCCATTCATTTCAGACAGAATGGGAAAGAGGAAGAGAGGAAGAGAGAGAGAGAGAGGAACATTGATGTGAGAGAGACACATGGATTGGTGGCCTCCCCAACAACTCTGACCAGGGCTGAGGACTGAACTATAACCAAGGTATGTACCCTTGACCAGAATCAAACCTGCGAGTCTTTGCTCTAACTGCTAAGTCAAACTGGCCAGGGCAATACCTATTTTTTCTTAAAGTGAAAACTTAATTATTAATTATCTAAGTGAGGCAAACAATGTAAAATATTCCCATTTTCTTCAATCCTCCAAAATAGCCTACTTGATTTCCTGGAAACACACGTATGCCAGGATTTTAGGTAGTAATTTTCAAACAGGGATCAAGTAGAAGACATACCAGATGAAGTTATATACTTATGTTACCTAGGCATATTCTTCTTGGTTGGTCTTATTTTTACGACTAAATCTGTAATGTGTTCTATGTATCCAATCTTAACTTCTTCCCTTAATTTCTTTAGTCATCTTCCCTATTTATTAAAAAAAAATTTTTTTCTTTATTGATTTTAGAGAGGCGAAGAGAGAGGGAGAGAGAGATAGAAACATCGATGAGAGCGAACATCAATTGGCCACCTTCTGCATTCCCTCAACTGGGGATTGAGCTCACAATCTGGGCATGTGACCTGACCGGGAATGGATCCGGCAACCTCTTGTTTAATGGGTGGACGCTCAACCAATGAGCCACACAAGCTGGGCACCATCTTCCCTATTTAGACTTCATTGTTCTATATCTTACATTATTATTATTATTTTTTAATCCTTACCCGAGTTATTTTTTCTCCATTGATTTTCAGACAGAGTACGAGGGAGGAAACGAGGGAGAGAGAGACAGAGACATTGACTGACTGGCTGCCTCCCGCATGGCCCCAACCAGGGCTGGGGACTGAAGCACAACCCAGGTACATGCCTTTGACCAGAATCGAACCTGCGACTCCTTGGTCCATAGACCAATACTCTACCTGCTGAGCCAAACCCGCTAGGGTGATATCTTACTTAAAAAATTTTTTTTTTTTTACTGATTTTTAGAGAAGGAGAGGGACACACAGAGAGAAGCATTGATGTGAGAGTAGAACACTGATGGGCTGCTTCCTGCACGCCCCCAAATGGGGGTCGAGCCCACAACTGGGGTACATGCCCTCATCCGGTCTTGAACTGACAAACTTTTGGTGCACAGGATGATGCTTAACCGACTGAAAGAGCCACATCAGCCAAGGCATATCTTACTTCCTGATGATATCATTGCTTAAGTTCAGTTCTGTCCCTGCTTATTAACCTAGCTGCATCTGTCTGCAACAAGAAAAATGTCATCGAGATTACGGTTGGGAATAAGTAGTGGAAGTAGTCAGAGAGCTGCTGAGAGGTCATGACAGGTGAAACATTGTACACACAAAAAGTAAAATTCCCCTCTGGATATTGTCCCATGTCTTCTTTGTTTTACAGCAAAACTCCGTAACAGTTGTTTACACTTGCTTCTAATTTCTCTTCCTTCATTTGTTTCTTGAACTCACTTCAATCAGGCTCTGGTTTTGGCAATTCATGGGAACTGTTACCACCAAGTTACTAATGACATCTAGGTTGCTTAAGCCAATGGCTGGTGCTAAGTACTAATGTTACTTGATCTATCATAGCATTCACCATGGTTAAACATTTTTTTCCCTCTTGAAACACTTCCTTCACTTGAACGTCACTTGCCTTAGCTTTCAAGACATTTTATGCTCTGAGTCTTCCACCTCACTGGCTGATCGAGCCTTCTCAATCTCCTTTGCTGTTTCTATCTTTCTGGTTTTAAATGATGGAGAACTGTCTCTGGTCCTCCTTTTATTATACTCCATTGCTTGGTGATCTCAATCTCATGGTTTTTAATGGCAACTAATATGTTGATTATACATTTTTATCTCTGATCTAGCTAGCTCTCTCAATTCCAGATTTGTGTATTTAGCAGTTTATTTGACATCTCCACTTGCATTGGTATTGACACTTAATTTATCTAAAACTGAGTCTATGATCTCCTAACCTGCCTGGCATTAATCACCCATTATAGAAAATCGGGGGTCATTCTAAACTCTTTCAACTATCCTTTCCCCTTCTCTCTGCCAATCTAAGTGAGCACTAAAATGAGGAATTATGGGCACCTTACATAACACTAAGTATTTGTTTCTTTGTCTTTAAAAAAGCTACCCCATAACATTATTAGGAGAAGTAAAGATAAAGTCCCAACTCCTCTGCCTGTGACAACAGTGCTTCTGTGCTCAGACTCCTGCCTTCCCAGGAGCCATTTACAAGTGGAATCATATCAGTCCTTTGCTTGGATTAAACAGAAAGTGACAGTTTTGAAACTGAAGGTGAACCGATGGCAGAGGGGCAAGAAAGGGACATTAGGAAGAGATAGCTGCCTATTATCATTTAAAGTCTCATTAGTTGGCTACTGTACTTCCCAATCTATTTCAACATTAAGAGAATCTGTGTAACTTTGATAACACATCTGCAAAACTGTACTTACCTATTTTTTCTTCTAGCTCTTTTACTGAAGAAGGTTGATCGTTTTCTTCACAAGGTGATTTCTCCAAGGAATTCTACATTTTACAGGAAAAACAACAAAAACAGAACTATTTCATTCCCGATGATGAACTGGCCATCACGTTCAAGCCAAGGTAAATAACCTGACACATATCAAATATATAATTAATAAGGAAAAGATGAAATGATTACTTTAGCATACTGTCACAAATTTTTAGAGAAAAATCTAAAATTTTGAGTAAAGTTAAATACCAGCCACTATTGCCTACTATTTTGTTGAACAGTGCTCTTTAAGAAAGATAATATGGCCCTGGCCGATTTGGCTCAGCGGTTAGAACGTCGGCCTGTGGACCAGAGTCCCGGGTTCGGTTCCTGCTAGGGGCACATACCAAAAAAAAAAAAAAAGAGAGAGAGATAATATGTACATCACACAAGAATGAAATTCAAAGTTTTTCACGTTTAGTTGCAGTTTTGCTGCTAAGTTATACAATATTGACCAAGACACTTAACCTCTTAACCATTTAATCTTATGCAAGATAATAATTCTAAAATGATCTAAAACCAAAAACCATCAATGTGATAACAGGATACACAACATGAAAATGTTTAACGTATTTTTCAGAAATTCCCCATTTGAGCTAAAAATTTAATTAGCAATTAAATGCTAAAAATTTAAATTGACTTGGAAGTGTAAAAAGGTTTATTTATATATTTTCTAGAGTTTATAGCTAGCACTAAGAATTTATTTAAATCAGTAAAGTTAAAATTAACAGTACCTTAAATGCTATCAACTCTGCATTCACATCTTGCAATTCAGATTCTTTCTGTTCTAGTGCTAGCCTTAGGTTTTCAAGTTCCTTTATAAAAGAATTTTCTTTTTCATTATGAATTTCAATTTTGCTACATAATTTTTGAGACTCTTCTTCAACTTGAATTGAAGGATTCTGATTTTCAAGCCTTCCTTTTTCATTAGTATTCCTCATTTCTAGATCAGACTGCAGGGCCTCCATTTCTGACCGAGCTTCTTCTAACTCTTTCCTTAAGAGAACTTTCTCTTGTTCACAATCTCTTAGTAAAGACGTAAGTTCCTCACTTTGAACTATCTTCTCTTGAAGGCACTTAATATTTTTTTCTAACTCTATTACCTTTTTATCATGTTCAAAAAGCAAGTTGCGTTTTTCCTCATTCATTTTAGCTAAGGATTCACCTACAGCTTGTAGGACATTTGCAATATCTTGCCCTTCATTTTCTTCTGAAACTTCTACCCCCATTTGTTTAAGAAAACCATACAACTGAGTTTTGACAGATAACTTCTGGACTTGCTCATTTGCAAAATGTTTACTTAAATTATCTCGTTCGTCAACTATTAACTGAAGTTTCTTTTCTAATTCAGAAACGTGTTCCTTAAGAATAATATAGCTTTCCTTTTGAGACAGGAGAGCTTCGATATCACTACTCAATTGATTCTTTTCTGAACTTAATTTATTATTTTCGTCAGAAAGAGACTTCACTTCCGATGTCAGTGCTTCTTGGTCTTCAGAGAGAGTTTTAAATTGAACCGTCAGCTTTTCTAGTTTTTCGTTATTTTGATCCTTTTTTTTTAAAGTTTCTTCTAGTTCTCTTGTCAATTCATTTATCTTTTGTTCTAGTTCACTGTTGTACTGGGTAGTTTGCTGCACTTTCTCCCTAAGTTCTACAATTAATCTTTCTTCCTTTTCACATTTTATATGGAGATTATCCATCTCTTCATGAGAACTTTTTATTTTACTTATGAAATCATCTTTTTCTTCAGTAAGGTAACTTATCTTTGCTTCATATTCTTGTAACATGGAATCTCTTTGACGGAGACTAACTAAATACACATCATTCTTTTCTTGAAGATTTTTTATGGCATTTTCAAGTTCTGGTACAAGTTCCTTTTGTGACAATAACTTTTCATTTTCTTTTTGGAGATGATTCACAGTTTCAAGTAGAGCATCTTTTTCATTAAAGGCAGCTCTGAGCTTCTGCTGAAGTTCATCAACATCAGATGCTTGCTGTTGCTTCATTGATTCAAATTCTTGACTTATTTTCCCAGCAGATTCCCCTAGTTCTGTTTGTAAAATTTCCATTATCTCTCGCAAACTCTCATAATTTAATACTGCTTCTTGCTTTTCTTGCTGTAGGTTTTCACACTGCTCCTTAAGACCCTGTATTTCGAACATTAATGTTAATTTCCCTTTTTCTGAATCTGACAACAATGTCTCATGTAGTTCTGACATTTCCTTTTGATGTTGTTCCCGAAGACTCTGTACTTCTTTGTCATGCTGTTCCACAGCATAGCAGAACTGTCTACTTGAATCTTCTAGCTCAGATTTTAATTTTTCGATTACACAGCCCTGTTCTTCTTTAGCTAGTAATAATTCATTAATTTTAAATTCTAAGTCTTCCCGTTCATGAAAAAACTCATCCTTTATATGTTGGGCATCGATTTCAAGTTTTAATTTAAGATTATTCATATAAATTACCTCATCTTTTAAGATATTATGTTGAGATTCCAGTTCTTTTAAGGTGGCTTCTAAGTGTTTCACTTTTTCATTTACTGTTTGTTCTACAGAAGTGTCGTGTAAGAGCAAAGAACACGTCTGATTTTCTTGGTTTGCACTTGAGGCTTTCCCTAAGTTTTCTAATTCACACTCATAGTTCTTCTGAAGGTTCTTCTCACTTGCCTCACACTGTTTGACTACATTCTCCTTTACCTGGTTTAAATTATTTGCTTCTGCTTCACATTCTTTAGCAGATGCTACAATTTGATGCATCAATTCTTTCACCTTGTCTTGGTGTGTAGCTTTCAATTGTGTAAGTTCTTCTTGCAAACTATTAATATCTTTCTGGTAATGCTGAGAATTAGCCTCAATGACTTTCTGGAGATCAGCAATTTCTTGCTCCTTTTCGTTTGTGGCAACTTCTAATTGCTTTTGCAGATATACAATTTGCTCCTCAAAGGCGGGTCTAATTTTCTGAATCTCTTCTTGTAGGTTTTTAATTTCAGAGTCACTCTGATATTTAAGTTGTTCTGAAAACTCTAATTGTTTTTTCTTCGCTTCTTCCAATTCCTTTTGCAATTTAGCTTTATCTTCTCTGTGTTTGAAATTTACTGCTGTTAACTCATTTTTCAAATCTTCTATTTGCTTCATACAGTCTCTTTGTGATTGTTCAAACTCCTTGTGGCTGTCTTCCATCTTAGTTACAGAGTCCTGTTATAAAAAGAAGCACACACAAATTATTTAATTAGCCCTGGCCAGGTAGTTCGTTCAGCTAGAGCATTGTCCCAATAGGCCAAGGTTCTGGGTTCGATCTTGGGTCAGGGCACATACACGAAGCAACCAATGAATGCATAAAGAAATGGAACATCAAATCAATGTTTCTTTCTTTCTGTCTCTCCAAAAAATCAATAAATAAAAATTTTAAAAAGTCACAGGCTAACTAGAGAGAAGGGGAAATGAGCAGAAAAGTACATGGTGAAATAGGATACTGATATTGCAAGAATTCTACTTGGGCTTTGACTACCTTAAGTATGACAATGTATATCAGCAGCACTAATGTCATTCAAAGTAATAACTACAAGGTAGGACAATTCTGAATTTAATTTTTTTTAAAAAGGACAAATTACATAAATTGTGTTAAGTCACAAGGCTTTAATGTCTATCTCCTGAGTAGATTAATAAACGACTTTTTGGAGAAATTTGCCTAGACCCAAGAGGCATATCATAAAACTGAACATATTTAAAGTATGTGTGACCTACATAAATAAGTACTTTTTCATAAAATATGTACTTCCCCCTCGTTTTTATTAAAGAATGACATTAGTGATAAGAAAGATTAAACAATGAAACAAAGAAATGTTAGCTCTGTCTCTGTGTAGTTGAATGATTTCAATTATTTTTAAATATCAATTTGTTTCTTTGTCTGTAAATGTTAAAATCAGATGAGATGCTTTTTTAAGATCTTAGGACTAAAATTCATGACCACACTAGATAAGTTAATAAAAAACATTAAAATACTGCCTTACTTCCACCTGTTGCTTCATTGCGATATTCTCCTTCCTCAGAGCAAGACACTGTTGCTCAGCCTCTGCCTTTTCCAGAAGCACAGCATCCAGACGGGCAGACAACGCCTGTTTGGAAACAGGATGATGTATTTGCCTCAGGTTAAAAATGGTAAACTGATTACATGCATAATTACCTCCTTACTGTTTCCAAACCACAGTAAAGTAAGAATGAAAAGATTTAAAGGTATATACATAAGGACAAAGAGAAAAGGAGAAAGGACATGAGGATATGAGAACTTTCAACATCTTTTTGGAAAACTGGAAGTGGAAGAGGAGGAGCTGAATTGGAGAAAGGAAGAAAGCTATGATCTAAGGGCCTCACAGAGAAACACTTATGAGAAACTAGAACCACTTGAGAGAATTAACTGCGCAGGAACTGGAGACAACAGACATTGTCAAGGGAGGTACATGCGTATGGTGGTCAAAAGATGGGGATTAGGTGACAGTATGAATAGGGAGTGGTTAGACTAATAGGCAAGAAATGTACCCACGTCCTAACGTCCTATCTCCCTCAGAGACAGGGTTATTCTCCGCAGAAATTAAATAGGAGAAAAAGTCAATAAAACGGAAAATAGATAAACAATGTTAGAGTCTGTTCTTATAAAAAAGCTAACACAGCAGACAACCTCTAGCAAGACTGACCAAGGGAAGACTGAAGTAACAATATTATGAGAAAAGGGGAAAATATCTACATATAAATTAGACATTAAACATAGTACGTATTATGAATAATTATTTGGCAATATATTGAAAAGTAGAATGAAATGAATAAAAATTCCTACAAAAATTTAGCTTTATTAACGCAAGAAAAATAACCAAAAAGTATAATTAATGTTATATCTACTTGAAAATCAAACCAGTTATTTAAAATTGTTTACCAACAAAAACAGAAGAAATAGTTTTACTGGTGAGTTCTACCAAATTAAAAAAAAAGAGATGATCCCAATTACATAGGAACTTGTTCAGACCAAAAAAAAAAAAAAGGAAGAAAAAACCAAGAAGAACCCCCAAGTTATTCTACAAAATTCGCATAATTTCATACCTATATGCAAGGACTTCACAGAGAGGAAAATCATAGACCCATTTCACCATGGCTATAAAGTTAATCCTTAATGTTAAAATCTAGATAAACGTAAGAATCCTAAGTAAACATTAGCCCTCTATCATCCTTGAACTGCCTACTTCTGAACTTATGTGAAATAATAAAGAAAAATTTTGTTTAAAAAAAGAAACAGATGTAGGTTTAGACTTCTATATCAAGTTATAGCTATTATTCAAACATGAGAGCAGAAGAAATCCATTTTATTTATTTTTAAATCTTCACCTGAGGATATTTTTCCATTTATCTTTAGAGTAAGAGGGAGGGAGGGAGGGAGGGAGGGAGAAAAAGAGAATCATCGATGTGAGAGAGACACATCAATTGGATGCCTCCCGCATGACCCTGGCCAGGTCTGGGGACTGAACCTCAACCGAGGTACGTGCCCCTGACTGGAATCAAACCTGCAACTCTTTGGTCCATAGGCCAACACTCTAACCGCTGAGCCAAACCGGCCAGGGCTTATTTATTTGTTTAAATATGTTTTTACTGATTTTCTAGAGAGGAAGGGAGAGAGAGACAGAAACATCGATGTGAGAGAGACACACTGATCAGCTGCCTCCTGCACATCTGCTACTGGGGATCAAGCACACAACCCAGACATGTATCCTGACCGGAAATTGAACCGGGACCTCTTAGGCCATGGGACGACGGTCAACCCACTGAACCACACCAGCTGGGGTGAAGAAATATGAAAGGGTTAATAAAAATAAGGGGTTGCCCTGGCTGGTTTGGCTCAGCGGTTAGAGCGTCGGCCTGCGGTCCAGAGAGACCCGGGTTCGGTTCCCGCTAAGGGCATGTACCTCGGTTGCAGTTTGTCCCCGGCCCTGGTTGGTCGTGCGGGTGGCAGCCACTCGATGTGTCCCTTTCACGTCGATGTTTCTCTCTCTCTCTCTCTCCCTCCCACTCTATCTGAACAAAAAGTGGAAAAAATGTCCTCGGGTGAGGATAAAAAATAAATAAATAAATAAAAAATAAGGGGTTAATGATGGCCTTGGGAAACTTTTTTTTTTTTTTTTGTGGTACATGCCTCTAGCAGGAACTGAACCTGGGACTCTCTGGTCCACAGGCCTACGCTCAACTGCTGAGCCAAACTGACCAGGGCGGCCTTAGGAAACCTGAAGGGACCATAAGAAAGAAGGAAATTAATGATGGCCCTGACCTCTGTTGGAGCAGACTCCTTACCTCTGAGACAACTTGTTATCAGCCACCCAGCACCAATTACTTGGTGCCAAGAGAATGTTCATTTTTTTTTTTTAATGTAGTTTTTTTTAGTTTCTGTAGTTTGGGTCTATAACACACAGAGAACAAAGAGATTTCGATGCTGAGCTTGAAATTTGCGACTCAGCCTGCCTGCACCCAGGCGCATGCAATAAAGCCATTTGGCTCTACAATTGGTCCTGCGCTGTGGATGTGACCTCCCGCCGGCTCAGACCTTTTAAAGCCCATTTTAATATGTAAGATGACAAAAATTTTCCTCCCATGCATCCATTCTTTAGAAGCTACAGAAGGACATGCTATACCAAAATGAGGAGGTTAAAGAAGAAGGTGGATGACATGTGACCTAGCAAACAGGACAACACAGGAAAGCAGTGCAGAATCCAGTATCATGGCAGAGGGCCAAGCCCAGGAAGCTGTGTAGCCACACTAGAGAGCAGCCAGGCCACACGGACGCAGGAGGAACACTGACGTGACCACTGGAAAGCAGAAGTCGCCGTGAGAGCGCTACACTTTCATCTTTCACTGGACGTTAAAGCTAAATATCTAAAGTGGATAAATCAAGAACTTGTACTATAAACATATTATTTATAAATTCAGAGGTAATTTCCATAAGTTATTTAGTATTATAATAACTTGTGGACGAAAAGGGGCCACATATTAACCTGACAAACTCAGGGGAGGTCTGCATGGGCCCTTGCAAACCAAAGACCTAAAGTAACCACAAAGAATGGTCTGAAATGAAAACTTTTTAACTAAAAGTAGTTTATGGCAGGTAGTCATGTCCTAGGCCAGGGTCTTCCTTGACAAAGGTCAATCTTTACCTTAATGGAGCCTGTCTATTGTCTTTTTGCATCAACAAAACCGTATCTTTGGAATAAATGTCAAAGTAATTTTCCCTTTTCTGGACCCTTCAAAACACAGGCACCACTCTGTGAAGACCACACATCCCTGCACTGTTACTGTCGACTGTCCCCTGCTTCCTTTCCCCCACCTCCCTAATCTGCCACCAGTGGATTCCATGTAAGCCACCTGCGCCTTCCCCTTTGACTGTACCGTGTAAAACAAGGTGCACAACTGCCCTTCTCTGGAGCATCATCTCAACCCGCTGAGGTTTTTGCTCCCTGGCAATTGAGGAGTCTTGGCTCAAATAAATACACAAAAATTTTTCACAGGCTTGAGTGTTTCTTACATCGACATTTACTTGGCCTAATGCGGCAGGATTTCAGAGCTCTCCCAGGACCACCCTGCAGACCTGGACCTGAGCTAGGATCCAGCAAAGGGACCCCTGAGCCCGCCAGCTCCCTAATCACTGGGTGAACTTGGGCAAGTTGTCTCTTGGATCTAGGACCTTCCCTTGCTTGTGATGGTGAGTCTGACTTTATTTGAACTGTATTTTTATTTTTTGTCCTCACCTGAGGACATTTTTTTTTGCACTTACCTTAAGACAGAGTGGGGGGGGGGGAAGAGAGAGAAACATCAGCGTGAAAGAGACACATCGAGTGGCTGCCACCCGCACGACACCCAACCAGGGCCGGGGACAAACTGCAACCGAGGTATGTGCCCTTAGCGGGAACCGAACCCGGATCTCTCTGGACCACAGGCCGACACTCTAACCGCTGAGTCAAACTGGCCAGGGCCTGAGCTGTATTTTTTTTTTTTTAAATCCTCAAGGTTAAGAGTTGACAGAACCCAGGCTAAGGCAAGAGAAAAGGAAAAACGTGTGGCTGGTTTTTAACTTTGGCTTTACAATTGGAATTGCTTTCTGCAAGTCTGAGCAGAAAAACCTTCGCTGTGTAATTGAGAGCTAAACTCACTATGAAGGGGCTCGCCATCCCTCCAGCCCAGGTGTTCTTAGGTGACTAAGAATCTTTGTGGAGGTGTCAGAGGTCATTCCTCACGATGTGTAGGAGCCCCACAGGGAATTCCCACTCAGCTGTAGTTAACAGACTGGCTCGTCCAGGGGAAGCCCCCATAAGGCCTGGTCAACCATGCCTGAAGTCCTTCTGGCTGTTTTAGACACTGGGAGAGAAACAGAGACACTTAAGGGTTGAATGTGACTCTAGGGTTGAGAGCCTCGGGGAGCTCAACTCACATGCAGCGCACTCCGACCCAAGACATAACGCGCCTAGGATATTTGCTCCAACTCTGCAGATATATACACCCTATAACTGACATGGGAAGCTGTGCCTCCAAGACCAGAAACTCCCAGACCCTAGTCCTCATGAATAGTCCTGATAGGATTATTCAAAGTGATAAAGTGATTTACAGTGATTCAAAGTGATTTACAGCCCTGGCCGGTTTGGCTCAGCAGTTAGAGCGTCGGCCTGCGGTCCAGAGAGACCCGGGTTCGGTTCCCGCTAAGGGCACGTACCTCGGTTGCAGTTTGTCCCCGGCCCTGTGAGGGTGGCAACCACTCGATGTGTCCCTTTCACGTCGATGTTTCTCTCTCCCTCTCCCTCCCACTCTATCTGAACAAAATATCAAAAAAACAAAACAAAAAAACCCAAAGTGATTTACATAAATGGGAAGATTGAACTAGAAATGATCTAACTTAAAATGGCCAAAATGCAGTTGTCTGTGGGTACCAAGTTAATTTTTTTGCATGCAAAAATTAGAAAAATGCCGGCTCTACAATTAAACTGAATGAATGAATGGGAAGCGTATCCTGACTTGGAAATTAGAAGCTTCTAGAAGCAGATATATTCTTAACGAACGATTCTGAAGTTAGTAAGTGCCTGTGCCCACTCCT